GGCAGGGAAAACTCTTAATAGGGCAAGGCAGTGCAAAATCTAAATAGGGCGGAGCAGGACAGGGGAAAATTTTATTTTTAAAAAATTTTAATAGGGCAGGGCAGGGGCAAATTCCAAGTTAATAACTGGGTTAGGTTATTTTTGTTCTTTTTTCCCAATTCCTACTGTGAATATACGCATTATAATGCGTTTTATGTATAAGCTCAGGTGTTGTAGAGTTCACCTTTCCAATTGTTTTCTACTAATTATTAAAAAAATATTTCCTTTCTAATTATCTCCCAAAAAGAAGTTCAATGACTGATGTTTATAATTAAAACTTGTTACAGATAAAATGATTAGGATGAACTCTTGAAATGCCAAAATCGTTGATGTCCTCCAAACTGAAAGGAAATTTGTCATTATTTGATTGTCTTTGAATACAAATTATTTAATTAATTTGATTTGTAATCTCCAATATATATTTCATCAATATGTGCATATTGTTTTATTCACGAATGTTTTAATTTTTCCATTCTCACCTTATTTCAAATATATCATAAAGATATGAGAAAATCTTCTTTTGGTTTCCTTTTGCTCTAATAATCCCACATTTTTTGTAAAATCATATGTTTTAAAAAAATTAAATAGAATATTACAAAATAAAAAAATGAAGAAGAGTCTAAACGGGGCGGGGCAAGACAAATTCTGAAAAAATGCTAAATAGGGCAGGGCGGGTTAAAAACTTAGTAGGCCAAAGCTTGTCCTGCCCTGCCCTACCCCAATTGCCATCCCTATAATTCCTCGTGATTTTAAATATTAAAAACCCTTTACTTTAATTGATCAAATTGCCTCGAATAATTTTCTAGTATCCATTACAAGGACGAGTAACTTTTAATTGGAAAATTAAAAATAAGCTACGAGACAAGTGAAAGCATTAAACCTTTTGGGGCTTATTACTAACATGTCCTTTCCCTTTCATCATTTTCCATCTTTGCTATAAAAGATGCAAATTGAACTTTCCTTTCATCTTGTTTACAAGACAAAGATTTGGCTTCATTTGGATCGAAATCACAAGGCAAAAGATTTGAACTCTCAAGATGAACTGGTTATACAATGAACAAATTTCATCTTGTACACACAGAAGACGCCAAAGGAGGATAAAACTAACACAAAAAACAACTTCAACTCGAACAGGAATGGAAGGAAGTTCATGAGAGATGCACAATCCTGTAACTTCTACAGCATATTCAGACTAGACATGATAGCTACTAGTGTTCGAATAAGATCCTCTCCCATGACCAGCAGTAGAAAAGACAATTTCACATCCGTCACAATAGTAAAAATCATCTATTCATTTATGCTAATCTGAGAACCTGTTACCTAATTCTTTCTTAGCATTAGATACTAATTTTTCAGCTTAATCGCACGCAGGGGCGGATTTAGGGAAAAATTACACTGTATATATAAGGCAAAATCTGTTTTTTACCTCTATATATTAAGTTTTGAACCCCCTTAACACAATCCAAAAGTGTAGTTTAGTGGTCAAGGGGGTTCAAAATCTACATAAGGTCATGGGTGCAATTCCCACTCGCTACAAAAAATTTTTTTGAACCCCCTTCGTGGAGATTCTGCCTCCGCCACTGATCGCACGGATGACCTTCAAAGTTGTTCTCAATATGAAGAATGTAAACGCTAAAGAATGCACAGAACAGGGACTTGCACAAAAGAACATGCATTGTAATGAAATGGGATAATTGCATAGTTGTTATTACAAGCCTATGTCATAGGGAAATGGCAGAAAAGAAACAACCAGCTTAGGTTCGAGTTAACATCCCAATTTTTTCTCTCAGAAATCATGGGGATTTAACATGCGATGCAATATTAGCTAACTATATATTCTTTTCTCATTTTGCACATTAATCCTTCTAAGTGTTGTAATAAAAAACTTTATGAACATAAAATCACCAAAAAAGGAGGTGAGAAAAGAATTTGAGTGCAGTAGCGCTTAAAATGCCTAAAGATGTTTACTTGCAAAGAGAATGAATATGCATTGCTGATAAACTTGGAACTATTGTACAACAGCAGAGGTTAAAGAAAGTTGAACCTTGAGCAGGTCTATTAACAGTGGAATCTTAAAGCAACCACACTCGGAAAGCTCCAAAAAGATTAGAACGTAAACACGGGGTCACCTCTTCAGTGGCTTGTAGAGGACGACAGTAACATATTTGGACTGGAACCTTTGCGTCAGACCAAGAGCAACAACGGATTGAGAAGCCCATCCTTTCTCTATAAAGAGGTGATTAAGCACTACATGCTGGGGCTTCGGAGAAGAAGGTGTTTCTTCTGAGTTTTCAGAACCAAGAACAGTTAAATGAAGTTGGGGTGGAACTGCCACTGGATCCTTTGCAAAATCCTCATCTCCCAGCAAACCTTGCCCATAGCTAGAGTCAGGTGATGGTGGGGCCTCAAACTCTGCAACACTTTCGAGGTTCTCTGGCACATTATCCTGTAGGAAGGATGCAAATTGTATTATCCATGTGTATGAGCCGATATCCTTAAGAAACAGCAGGCATAGCAAAATATTCTTTTTAGCCTCCGACCAAAATATACCAGCCGTAGCATTTGCGCATGTCACACATGAAAATACATGGTGAATGGTCCTTCTAAGTAACGCTGCAAGCTTCCCAGTCACATGTTTATGCATTAATCCGCCATCAACTAATTTTTTCCATGAGATTCATTTTCCTTTTAGACAAGTTTTCCCCTTACCTTTCTGAATGATATATCAGACTGCATATATGTATAGAGTGAATTACCTTGTTCTTAAGTAGCTTTTCACTTTTTAAACTTTTGATTCCCCTATCTCAGTGGTTTTATTACCTTGTTCAGTAGCTTTTCACTTTTAAAAACTCTTGATTCCCCTATCTCTACCAACCAAACCCGTTTAGCTGCATATAAATTTAAGGAAGCTATATGTGAATAATCCCTTGAGATAAATTTCTCTCTTTTGTGATCATACTGAAAAATAACCCATTTATGCATAAAATATTAATTAGGATAGTTTCATACCACCGGTACCACCTAAGGTCTGAAGAGATATTTTCACCTTTATTCCTAAATACAAGAGAAGCACATTTCCTCTTTGATTAGAACAAGGCAAAACAAAATGAAATAAAATGGCAATGCCAAGCTGCAACATTGCAAACTCTGCCTACCCTTCCGCTACAAAGTTATTTGTCAGTATTTCACTAATTACATTAATGAAGACTGCTAAATGTGCTAAAGTTATCAAGATGCCACTACTGCGATAATGCAATTAGCAATTCACTAGCCAAAGGTAAATCAGCTTCCCAACCAACTAATCAGGAGGCGGAAAACTCACTTACATTAACATCAAGAAGATTAAAGACAACGCCTGTCTCATCTGCTACACATGGAAGATCAGGGATATATCTGACTTCTCCATCCACAATGAATTTGTAATGATATATCCCCATCGGAAGGACCAACAGAATGGTGTGGTCCTTGCCTGATCTTTGCAGAATCTTCCTGCAAGCAAATATCATTGGTGGAAACATTCAGAAACTCCATTAATAGGAATTGTCGCAGCAGCTAGTACTTGGTTGAATCTGGATCAACTCCTGAACAAGAGGCCAGAGTTTACCTTGATCTCCAGTTGTCCCAAGATCCTTGGACAGCAACATTATTACCACCATAACTCCATGTTATCAAAATAGGTATGCCACTCTCTGGAGAATG